CAGTCATTATGAGAATGCATCTATGGACTAGAGAGGACCCTAAATTGCTCAGCAGCTCTCTGAGGAGGTTAGTTTCTTTAACAGGTTAGAGTCTCATTTCTCAGTGACCTTGAAGCTATCCCTATGGACCCACTTTAATTTGTCGGTTTTAAAGTAAGGAGTCTGCTGGGTATGCATCATCTCACCTCTCTTCTCTATGGGCAATCATCTCTTGGACAGTGTACACTGGTCTGAGTCCCAATATGTGTTAATATTTATTTTGCAAATGGGTTTCTTTAAGTTAATAATAAAAGCTTTCACAAGTAAGATGCTATTATTACATGTATGGTAGGGGAAAATATTTCAAGAAAAATAGGGCTGAGGGTTGTTGAACACAACATCTTCAAAGGTATTTCCTACTGTCTTAGATAATAACATGAAACATCCAAAGAATTTTTAACCTAATTTAAAATGTATTTTTAAACGGCCTACCTGTTTTTGGATTTTGGTAGACTGATGTTGACAAAACAATACAAAGTGTAAGACTCTTCTTCACTGCACATGCCAAATCAACAAGACCAGAAATCAACAAGACCAGATCTAAGAATTCTTAGTAGATCTTCTATTAGGGAGAGGTTATATAAGCAGGCATAACTCTGAAATGGTCAATCTACATACATGTAGTTGGGAGTTGTAGCCCAAATGTTTAACAAGAAAATCACCCTCGTATAAATTCTCTCTGGCCTACTATAGTACTCATCTTTAAAAAAAACCACTGCTCCCAATTTAGGATTTCATACAAAATAAAATACAAAATACTTACACAGTCCCGAAAAGCATAAACTAGATGATGATAATGTACCTATGCCTGCTCTTTAAAAATAAGTATTTTTAGTGTCTCTTAGTTTATTAGCTATTATCATTAATTTTATTGTCCGTGAACTCTCATTTTTCCCAAGTAGTCAAATGCAGCATTTCAGTAGGCACTACTCAGCAACCAGATTAAATCTGAAAAGTGAGTTCTAAAAAGTTCTTTTTAACTTTTAAGAACAATTTCTTACAGAACTGCAGAACAAATTTTGCCTATTTAACTTAAAATACAGCTGAATGAGAAATACCTACTGTATTTCTGTTCTTACTTTCTGTTTCTTACAATAAGGGCAGATATTGTAGCCTCCTTGTAGGGAAGGGAGCTCTGAAACCCAGAGGACTGTGTTTTACCCTTTGAGAGAGATTTCGGCACATGCTTGATCTTCGTCAGTTGTTCCTAATACCTAAGACACCTATAAAGAGGCTATGGTCTCCCTGAGAGTACATGTGCATATAAAACCCACAAATCAAGTAAAAACCAATGCCAATTATCCTCCTGGAAGACTATCCTTGAAAAGCTCCCACAATCCAAGGTTATAGTTTCAGTTCTTTTCCTGGGGGACATGAAAATAACTGACACATCACAAAATAACCGTTTGAGTTGTGTAAATTATACAAAGGAATTCACCACAAAGATTGGAAGCATAATGCTTGTGAACCAGTAGGTTTCAAACTCTCTTTGGTACTTACAAAATTGCAGGTATCATAAAGTGAAACGACTGTAAATTTAACTTGGAAGTGTAAAGAACAATATTAGTGTTCACTTTTCTCAGTAGTTATTAAATTTAACGGTTTTGGAAAGCCCAACAAACACTAGATGAAATGGTTTTCTTCTTACTGACCCAGAGTCTGTAGTTTAAGTGCTTATGGAAGGAAATAAGTATAGGCTTTACCAGAGTTACCAAATAAGCACCTTGATCTAAAATATTTTCAAATTTGTTGAAATTTAAAGAAAACTAGTCCCATTTATGTTTTTAACATTCATGTTAGTACTTTTAATATTACTAAAATATCTTGAGACATTTTCAAAAATAAAGGTTAAATTAACTTATTTCCTAACACATAAAGATAGTTTAAGAAACCCTCTGAAATATCAGAAGTACAGATAATATATGTAATAACACTACACTTTGATTTCAGACACATACTATGAATGTGCTACCAAGCAGCACAACACACAGCACCATCTGTAGAGTAAAGGACAAGAATGCCTTAAAATCAGGGATGACAGTGTGCTGTAGTGATAGATGAACCAAAAGGGCAGGCATAAGGTGGTCTTATAGACAGGGAGATTGGGATGCTAATAAAGGTGGTAGGTACACTTTAATTTGTCAATTATATCTCAGTAAGGCTGGAAAAAAAACTTAGCAGGGGTGAGGGAAGTAGAAAGAGAAGAATTAACTAAAGGAAGAGGTGATATATCACTATTTTGCTTATATAACATTATCCATCCAATCAACCAACCAGTTATTAAAACACTTAAAAGGAACTAGGCACTATGTAAGGTTTGTTCATACTTGGACCAAAGGCACATAATCTTTCTTTCTTTCTTTCTCTCTTTCTCTCTCTGTCTCTGTCTCTCTCTCTCTCTTTCTTTCTTTCTTTTTCTGGACAGTTGCTCAGAAGTGCCATCTGATCTCAGAACAGAAAAATCTAATTAGTGCTCACTGAATTCACTCCCACTCTTGGTCTCATCAGTATTTTAAGTTCTCACTGAATCTGAATCTTTTAAACTCTGGGTCGTTTGGTCCTCTAGCCATACATTCAACTGAGAGCCTCTAATTTACAGCCTCAAACAGCCTCTCTTGCTACACCCAATCAAAGTAATGGGATGGCTTGATGTGAAAAGCTGGGGGAATACACAGGCCCCTGGAAAGATGGAGTCATGCTCCAGGTACAACCTGGAGCTATATGCTTGTCTCCCACTCTTTTGATTCAGATATATCTATATCTATCTATATCTATATCTATCTAACATTAAATCGGTACCTTCTCTCAACCCTGTTCAATATAATGCATGATGTTCAACACAGTGTATTTATTTCCAAAGGAAGGACACGGCTTTTGTAGAAAAATGATGCTGTATGACAATGTGTACATCACTTGACCCTGTCAAGCGTCAGTTTCCTTTCTATAAAACAGGATTAATAGCTGCCTTGCCTAACTCACAGGGTCACTGAAAGAATCAAATAAGATAATGTCCTTGTAAACTGCTAAACAATCATTACCGTAAAAGTTGCTCCTTTTGGAACTTTTGAACTTTTTCCCAACTCATAGTTTAATTTTAAGGTTAGTTAGAATATCCACATGCAAAAAACTAATAGGATTTTGGAAAGGACAACAGACAAATAAAGGGCAATACTGATAAGGATAATAAGTCAGAAAATAGGAAATCAGTCCCAGAATGACAGTGAAGTCCTGATGCAAAACCAGGACAGTTATGTGCTTACTCTTTGCAGACACTGGCCAGTTCCCCCAGCACACACAAACACTAAGCTGTACTGTGCTTTTAGGTGAATCGCTGGGGACAAGTTGAGTCTGGAGGTGCAAGGGGAGGAGGGACTTCCAACCCTGATGATCAGGCGCTTCCCCCACCCCTCTAACAAACACTCCTACTCTTTGTGCCTGGCCCAGTTAATGAAAACTATTCCTGGTACGAAAATGGCTGTCAAAAATTTCTTTTAGGGAGAGTCTTGTAACCATGAGACACCAGCTGTATACCTATTTCTCCCCCCAGTACGAACTATTTTGAATGGGCAGGTTCAGAGTCAGAAACACTGGGTTATGTTTCGTTTCTCTCAAGACTCACGGGCCTCACCCTCCAAGCTTCAGCTCTCTCATCTGGAAAATGAAGAATGACGGCGCCTGTCAGCTTCATTCCAGGGCCACCGAGAGGATGAATGAGACAGTGCCTGGAAGGCGCCAGAAGTGATGTCTGACAAACACCAAGTCCATCACTGTTTATAAAGTATTATGATGAGTCCCGTTATGCCCTCCCGCCTCAAGGAAATCGCCGGGTTGGAACTGACACCCGCAGTCACTGAAGAAAGCAACGCCAAAGCTGCCAGGCGTATCCGCACTGAATCTATTTCGGGGCAAGAGGTAGGAAGCAACACGCGGCCCCGGGAGAGGGGGAGGGGGAAAAGGAGGATGGATGGAGGTCCAAGATAAGCCTACCGGTTGTTCCGGATGCTGACCAGCACGCACAGCACCAGCTCTAAGTAGGTGCGCAGCACTTCCAGCCAACGGGTTGAGAGCTGCAGGGCTTCGACTTCTTCCCCGCCAGTCCCGGGGTCCGCGCCGCCTCCGTCGCCTGGGCCGCCGCCGCCGCTCAGGTAATTCTCGGCGGCGAACTCAACACGCAGCTCTCGCACGAACCAGCCGCACTTGCGCATGAGGAATTCGAGCCGAGGCTGCTCCGCGGGGGAGACGCGGAGGCAGATGCGGAGCTGGGGCCACAGAGCGGGGTAGAAGAGGCACTCGCGCCAGTGCGAGCAGGAAGCCGAGGCCCGAAGCCGGTCAGGCGCGGGCAGGAAGGAGAAGATGTGCACGATCAGCTCGCTGGGCAGCGACGCGGCGCCTGCCGCCTGCCCGCACAGAGCCATCCGGCCCGGCCGCCGGCTGCCAGCCCCCGGCCGCCCCCGCAGTCCCCGGAGCAGCCCCCGCAGCCGTCGCAGCTGCTGCAGCCGCAGCCGCTGCCGCCGCCACCGCGCCACCCGGGCGGCCCCGGCTCGGGTTCGAGCTCCCGGCGGTCGGGGCTGCGGCACTGACAAGAACAACAACATCAATGACAAGGAAGAAGGGGGCGGAACCGTCGTGAGTCTCGGCGGAACCAAATGCAACAGAAATCGCGGAGAGGGGGGAAGGCCTCTGCCGTGTGGCTTCTAGATAGCCAGCTTCTGGTCCCTTAAACTCTACTCACTCACGTCCAAGGCCAATACACTCAGTAACTTCAAAACCCTTGGTTGTAACGTTTAGCCCTTCGGAAGCGGCAGGACTCATGCTAAGGAAACGGCAACCCTCCCCGCGCCTGGAGGCGGAGGCAGAGCAGTGGTAGAAGCTGAGTTTGACGTCACCGGTGGGGGGAGGAGCCCGGCGAGGCTAAGCGCGACTTCCGGAAGAGGGGAGCGCCCAGTTGCCGGTAGGGAAGGGAGACGCGGCACGTGGCTCTTGACGCACGCAAGCCGGCGGGGCGGGGCGGGAAGCGCGGTAGGTTCCTGCGTTAGGCAGCTGGTCCCGTCTCCCAGCGGCGACTGACTCCCGTCAAGAGTGTAAGTTAGTTAATTTGGGCGTTCAGGCTGTGGAAGTGGAGGAACTTGGGTCAGTGAGAGGGGTCGTAATGCTTCTCCTTCTAAGTTTCTTAGTTGCTGGGCTCAGGGCTCAGCCAGAGTGCCAGCCTGAGAGGTGTTTCTGAGCCGACCCGCCTGCCTAGAGTATTATTAAAAGAGTTTCTGAGGTTTCTGAGAGAGCCACTAAGCAGGGGGAGCGGGCGCACTCTCGGGCTAACTTGGACGGGCTGTGTCGGGAGAGGAGAAACGCGGGGCGGGGCGGCGCGGCCGAGAAGCCCACCGAGGCCGCAGGTGGACCTTCCCCACTGGTCGGGTCGTGCAAAGGGACCTCCGCGCACACCTGGTCTGTGGGGAAATCGTGAGGACAGCGCCACCCTTTGGATTTTGAGGGAGACGGGGAAGAAAAGGCAGTCAATTAGATCTGCCTCTTCAGGGTTTGAGGGAGGCTCTGAGTTCCCGGTTGTGAGCTTTAAAGATCCTAATTGAAAAGAAGGTCGTGGTTTTGGTAAAGGTTTTCTTTTAGTTTGGCGCCCCTAATTTGAGGGAAGGAGTTTTGAATTAGTGACCCGTTTTACTTGATCACAACTTGGGAAGTAGTTAACTGGTTGTAAGGCGCGGTGAAGTCAGAAAGGAGTAAGTGATTTTATGTAATAATTGAGGATTGCTGTAGTGAGACTGCCGCTTCAGAGCCTTAGCTACGATCTTGGAACAGCCGTGTTCTCTTGTGGTAAACATCAAGAAGCTGTTCGACTAGACATTTTTAGCTTTTTGATGGCAAAGCTCTCTATTCATGCCGCTTTGATGGTTTTTGGTGCCTTGCACGTACCATGTTGCTAACGATATTGTGTTGTGACCTCTGAGCTCTCTTCAGCTCAGTACCTGTAAGAAAAAAAAAAGCTATCATTTATCGTAGGTCACGTCTCAACCTCTGTATGGAAGTGTTCTTTCTATGTAATTGTTTTACCTTATAAATACATTAATGAACACTTATGGAAACAGCAGTGAATTAGGAAGTTGAGACTTTAATTTTTTATTTCTTAAACATGGAAGTATTTTGAAGCGAGCATAGACCTCTAGATATTTCACTTCCAAGTTCTTCAGTGTGCATATCCATAAAAAACATGCTAACTATATAACAGAAATATCACACTTTAAATGACTTGTTAGTGTTATCTAATATTTTAATATATAATATGAGCCTTCAGGTTTATCCATTTAACTCGCAAATGATCTTTACAGCTGTTTTATCCAAACCATAATCCAGTTAAAGACCACACTTATGGTGTGTATGGTGTTTTTGTTTATGTATTTCAAGTCGCTTTTAAACTAGAGTAGTCACCCCCCAACACATTTTTTTTCTCTCTGATTAGCTAAAGAGAGATTTATTATCCTGCAAAATATCTCCCCTTCTAGAAGTGACTACTTTCTCTTGGTGTTTAGCCAAGAGAATTTCTAATAAGCCTGGGCATTAATGCTAAAGGCTTGTTAGATTGGTGCCATCATGCTCTCTCTCCTAAATTTATGTTTTGTTGTTTTTCTCCTTAAAACAAAGTTTTCTGTGAGGTGTTATTTTTAGAAGGGTTGGCTTCCTAAAAGTGTCTAACGCTCCTATGAACTGTTCACTTAATAGCCTTAACAGTAACTGGCAATTCTTGCCTAGTAATTCTTTAGGGTTTGCAAAATGATAGTTTCTAATTCTTTCATTCCATCTGCATTTATTAATTTGCATTCTTCTGTAAAGTAGAAGCTTTCTTTTATAAACTGGCAATATTGGGGCGCCTGGGTGGCTTATTCGGTTAAGCGTCCGACTTTCGCTTAGGTCATGATCTCGCGGTTCGTGGGTTCGGGCCCCGCGTCGGGCTCTGTGCTGACTGCCAGCTCGGAGCCTGGAGCCTGTTTCAGTCTGTGACTCCCTCTCTCTCTGACCCTCCCCTGCTCACGCTGTCTCTCTCTCTCCTAGAAATAAATAAAACATTAAAAAAAAAATTAAAAAAAAATAAACTGGCAATATTTAGTTACCCCAAAATACAGCCTTTTGGAAAGTTAAAAAAAAAAAAAGTTCTTTTTTCTTTTATTACCAATTTTGAAAGTAAGTTTCAGGGCCTCAAAGAGTGACAGATGAGTTTTTGTAGCTTTAAATTTTCTGAATGTCACTCATTGATTTTTGGTATATTTTTTATCAGTTATTCTTTTTGATTTTCAAATTTTAGTGCTTCTAGAGCATCTCTCAAAGGATTCTATGTAATTATTATTATAATTTAAAAAATTCTTTGAACATTTTTAGTAGATGTAACACTGGACTGGGCTGGAGCATGAGGCTAGGTTTTGATCTTTTTTACTTTTGTCATGATCTACCTAGGTGACCTTTAAACAGTTTGCTTAACTTCTTTGGGCCTCATTTTCTCCATCTGTACAAATAGAGAATTTTTGGCAAGGTTCTCTGCAGCTCTGATATTTTCTGACTTAAATAAGAAACCAACTTATTTAGATATATTTTACATATTACAATTTGCCTGTTTCAGGTATACAGGTCAGTGATTTTTAGTAATTTTACTAAATGGTGCAACCATCATTGTAAGTTTTTAGAACATTTTCATCCCTTTAATAAGATTCCTCATGACTGTTTATAGCTAATTTTCACTCTTATCCTTAAACAACCATTAATAGTCTTTTTGTCTCAATACGTTTGCCTTTTCTGACCATTTTATAGTAATAGAAATATATAATATGTTATCTCTTGTGTCTTGCTTCTTTCACTTAGAGTAATGTTTTTGAGGTTTGTTCATGATGTGACGTGTCATTAATCCATTCTTTAAGGAAAATAGTATTCCATTTTCTGGATTTTTTTTTTAATCTACCCATTCACCAGTTGACCTACATTTAGGTTGCCAGATTTTGACGGTTATGAATAATGTTTTTGTGAATATTCATATGCAAGACTTTTGTTAACACGTTTTCATTTCTCTTGGGTACATACCTAGGAAAGTTATAGGTTGTATGGTAGTTCTATGTCCAACTTTTTGAAGAAACTGCCAAACTTTTCCAAAGTGGCTGTTATTTTTATATCCTAGAAGCAGGGTATGAGAGTTTCCAGGCTCTGAATTTTTGATGATCTGGAGATATTCTCTGATTTGAGATTATTTTTCCTTATTCTTAGCATTTTGCTAGCAACAAACTACATTTTCCTTGGAAACCATTCAATTCTTACTTTTAATTAGTAGGAATAGTTCGTAAAGGAAATAAAAATATATCAATCTGTTATAAAGTAAAATTGCGTTTCTTAGTGTTTAAAAAAATTTTGTTTTATTTTCGTAGTATATGAAGAATGGTTGTAATACTGTTATTAATGAAAATAAGACACTAATAAGATATGGTCTTGGCTAGTTATAATAAAACTATATTCCAATGATGGCATACAATTTGTTTATTTTATTAATCTGACATCTTTAACATTATTAATTGAATCTTTATTAGGTATGTATATTCTTGGCATGTTAATAGAGTTAGATTATTTCTCCTGACATTTATGTACACTATCCTTGGTAAAGTATAAACTATTTTCGATACAATAGCAAAACTGACTTTACAGCCGCAGAATGAAATTGCATTGTGTGAAGTTATAATGTTTAAGCCAGGATTCAAAATGTGGGAGGAAGTAATGACGTTACAACGCCCATAAGCCCTCAGTAGTAAGCTCCTGGTTCCAAAAGTGGCATATTGTCACTATAGCAACTACCCATACTTATTTGGATCTGAAACCCAGGCAACGAATAGTGGATAAGACTACAACATCAAGATAGATAATGTGCTCCAGTGGGTTGATGTGGTCTGGTCTGTTGATGGTCAAGTATTTGTACCATTTTTCTTATGTTTTTTATGATTGATTGAAGTTTTATGAAGTTATCTTAATTTGTATTAATGTATTTTTTTTTTGGAGAGAAATTAAACATTCTGTATTCTTATATTCTTTTCTAACCCAAGCTTAGTGCTTTTTCCAGTTAGGTTATTAGGATATTAAATATATTTGTACTGTAGCTCTTTCTCCATTATTGTTTGGCAATTCTCAAACAGTAGTTATAAAAATATAACTTTTATTCTGAATCACTTGCAATATTATAACAGAAAAAATATCATGACATATTATTTTAGCTACATCATGAAAAGATGCTCAAGGGTACCAATAAACATGCAAATTGCCTAAATGCAAGCATCTTTAGAAAAAATGGTTTTTTTTCTAAACAAGGTCTGGATTTCAGACACTCTTCACAAATGGAGATGACATAACTTCCTTCCAATTATCTCTTAGCATGCATCCATAAATTTACTTAGAGGCACAGAAGCCTTCTGAGAAAATAGAATTGGGAACCTGATTCCTTTCTTTCCACCCTTGTCTGATGGATTGGAATAGTTTCTAGTGAGGTCATATTGCAGGAAAAAGAAATGAAGAATCAAAGGGAATTTGTCTTAGAGCTGATGAACTGACTGCAAAACAAAGGGTCACATTTTTTTTTCCTCTAGATCCACCATGTTGCTGATACCGAACTAATTCTAATCAAGTCAGTCAAATTTGTTGTGCAAGTTTGTGAATTGGAAGATCTATATCAATAAAGCAGAAATTAATAGCTTATAATCTAAAAGAGTCTAAAGCAGTGAGAGAAAAATTGGGTCTTGAGCAATGTGATGGTATTTGGAAAGGACTGTAGCTTACTAGAGGATGCTTCCCCCACTGGGAAGGTGAAAAGTTTTTAGATGTTCGGAAGACACTAACATACTAAATTAAAAAAATTTTTTTTTTTAAGTTTTATTTATTTTTTAGAGAGAGAGACAGAGGCAGCGTGAGCAGCAGAGGGACAGAAAGAGAGGGAGACACAGAATCCGAAGACAGGCTTCAGGCTCTGAGCTAGCTATCAGCACAGAGCCAGACTCTGGGCTCGAACCCACAAACCGTGAGATCATGACCTGAGCTGAAGCTGGACGCCTAA